TATATTATATTAAATATAATAATAAATATATATTATATTGTAATTATATATATTATATTATAATATAATATAATATAATATAGTTGTAATTTTTAACTATTAATAACAATTTAACCTCATAATTTATCAAACTATTATACTAATTTTAGAAATAACATAACTATATAATTATAGTTTATAAAACACTCAGCTACTTTTTGTAGCAGCTACTTTTTCTTTTAATACAGTTAAAAATAATTTTTTTAAAATCTACAACAATATTAAACTAAATCATTATTATGCTATAAAAATATCTACAAACTTCATCCACATTGCCTCCGTAGCCTCCCTAAAATCTTAAGATTTTGTTAAAATCTTGCAAGTATCTATTAAAATTAGTATTTTTTTTTTGGTTAAATTATTGAAAATTTAAACGGCCTCAAGTCTCAACTAAGCGGAGACCAAAAAAAAAAAAGAAAGAAAGCTAATCAATTATTGTTTACATCAAATAAAGCCAATGTCTTTTCAAAGGCTCTTATACGCCAGTCTTTCCTCAAAATACCACAATTTTATTTTATGTGCCGTTTAGTTTGCTGATATAAGTATTTAATTTAAGTTGAGATATAATTTTATATTATAGTTTTTTATTGTGATTATTTTTAGAGTTTTTAACTATAACAAAATTTAAATTTTAAACTCAAATTGGTAAAATGAACGGAATAATTTTTCATATACTTTTTGTTGCTTAGGAGAGATATAAAACACAAAGGCGTGTTTGGAGTTGGTTTTATTTTTGTTTTTCACGTTTTTTGAGAAAGAAAAAATAAAAACTAGAGAGAACCGACGTTTGACACAATTAAAGATAAAAAACGGAAATGAAAATAATTTTTTGATTTAGTGAAAAATAGAAGAGAAATAAAAAATGACTTTTAGTCGTTTTTTATTTTTTGTTTCTGTTTTCTCATCTTTCGAGCACACCTAGAGAGAGAGATTAATAAATTTTTTTATACTGAAAATAATCTTTTGATAAAATTACTAAACACATTTTTAAAAATAATTTATATCTGAGATTGAAAATATTTTCATTTCTATTTATATAAAAAAATAATATTAATTTAAAATGAGTTCTAAACACACTTAAAAAAATTGAAACGGTATAGAGAAGTACAACTCGTTCTCATCTTTTGAGCAAAAATACTTTTTTTGTGTTGGGAATAATTTTGCCAGAACATAATTTTGAATTAGCTGATTATATATTGCAGAAATTCAACTTGCTTTAAAAAAATTTCAAAAGAACATAATTTTGGATGGCCTGGTACTTTTAATAATCGCGTTGGAAGTGAATATGCCTTGTCTAAACAAAGTCATTTTTTAAAGGTTTTTAACACCGAGCCGCGTATTGCAAAAGCAAAGTAGTACTCATATTTCTAATTTTTGCATTTTCCCCCTATATTTGTAAATCTTGGCAATTTTACATCAATTGTTAACCCTATTGAAAAAATTGGATTGAATCTTCCTCCCTCCTATGTGAGTTTCAATATTTGAATTGGAGTCCCGTACCATGCATAGTGTACGCTTCTGACATAGTGACATTGTTGTGTTATTAATAATGGCTATTGCAATAGCAAATTTGTGAACACTTTTAGGACAAAAAACTTACCACAATTTTGGAAAACCTCCATTTGAAAACTCCTTTGTAACCTAGCACCCCAAAAATTTCTTTCACCATTAATTCCAGTAGGCTTGTAAGTCGGCCGGGGTGTGTCAGTTTTGAAGGAAAATTAGGCCAGCCCGTAGGTCTCGGGCTGGGAATGATTTAGGCCGCAACAACTTGTAGAATTAGGATACTTGTATACCATTCGGGTACCTCGGGTCGGCCGGGTTACTTAGGGTAAACTATGAGTTTTTTGTAAAAAAAAAAAAAAACCCTTTTTAAACTTATTTTTGTTACTTACCTCATCTAAGACTCAATTTTGACAGACTCATCCTAAACAAGAATTAAGAATCAGCAAGAATTATCTAAAGACTCAACCTTTTATGTTGTATTCGAAGATTTTTAAACTTATTATCATTAAGGTTGGACATTGTTTTACCTATTTTCTAAACATGTTCGGCCGGGTAGGGGTACATCGGGTTTATGAAAACCC